TTCTTCACAGGACCGGGAGGCATAACTGCTCAGACAACAGAATTCACGAGAATTAGTCAAAATAATTCATGAGTCAAGCAAAGCGTTAACAGAATAATTATAAATAAACTAATGAGAAAGGCCTGGAAAAAATGTTGGTGACCTTAACTTAAAGTCATAGGGCAGTCATGTTTAAAAGTCAAACCCTTCTGGCTTAAACATGTATATAAATGTACTCTTTATCAGAACATATTGTCTCAAAAGTTAGTATATTTAAAAAAACATCCTGTTTTAAAATCTGTTGTTTTTTTGTTTTTTTTTTTGTCGTCTTATGCAGGCCAGTTAGTTATACGGAAGCCTGAAAACCTAAATTCGACCAATTGTATATCAACGGTCATCTGTCAATTAAATGTTTTTGGTCATAGCATCTTGATTCATATGTCGCAGCTAATATACGCAACGGTTGAAATAAGAATCATTTCCTTTCCCATTGAGTTCCATCCCATTGTTCACGGGGATAGACGTCTGTGTCTTCAGCAGGCATAGAGCTAACAGCATGGGCGTAGGTTTGCATAGGGACCATAAGGACATGTCCCCACCAAAATTTTGGACCGACCTATTTGTCCCTACCGATAATTCGATTTGAATAAATGTTTGTAATTTACAGTTCAGCGTAGTGGATCACACACGGCCACTGTGCGTGATCACAGCCAATTCTTTTTCTCTCACAGCTCCGCAGCTTAGTAGCTGCTGCTGCCGCTCCGTCTGAGTGCGTACCGGTCTTTTCTGTCCCTTAAATCAATAACTGTGCTGTTTAACTCCACTCTCATAGGTTGTTCTGCCTCAAATTCCACCTTTTCTCTTCCTGATTGGCTGTTTTCTAGTCCATATGCTTGTGTGCGTGCTTGGAGCACGAAATAAAAATTTTATTTATGCTAGTTACTTCAAATAATATTAGGCTATGAAACTAGTCCTAATGAAAAAAACCTTAATTCTATCTACACTAAAACAGACAAAAGCTGCTGATTGCTGATCTAAGCCACAGCCGACTGAAAAAGAAAATGTGAGGTTTCCCTTTTAAAAATACTTCATTGTTATTACCGTTTACATTTTATGATGAACCTGTGAGGCAGTTCAGCTATAAATAGCAGGTGTTAATTCTTTTATAGAGTATAAAAACACAAGATGGTGCCTTAACATCTGATATTTTTTGTTAAGAAAGCATAATTAGCATAATAGCATAATATTGCTATTTCTTTGAACATTTCTACTTTTAAAAATAGTATAAAGACAATAACAAACAGAGGAACACTATTTACATTGATTTTATTTTACATAGATTTCCACACAGTCCATAAGTTAATTACGGTAGTACAAACATTAGTTTTTGGTAAAAATGCTTGAATCCGGCTGTTTATTTTGTATATTATTACATTACAGACAAGATGGTTTTATATTTTTTTTCAATAATTATTAAAAGTGATTTTATATTGGAATAAATTTAGTCTTATTCTTAGTGTTGTCTTTTTTAGATGATACCACTAAATGTAAATACAATAAATTATTTGCCATTCCTTGAATATGTTATTTTGCGTTGTTTCATGATACAGATAGAGCATTTAAAAAATAGTATGTTTCACCTGTTTACCTTTGTACAATTATATATCTTCAGAAGAAAATACAGGATAAAACCAAATATATCAGGCATATTTAGACTATATTTGGTTAAATTTGCACATATTTACCTACTGTCTTAGTCACTGGTAAATTTAAATGCAAACCTTTTCAACCTGGAAAAAAAGTCCTAATTCCACATTCTTCAGAGCCGGTGATGCTTCAAACATTGATAAACAACATCTAGTGTGTAGTGCTTTTAAAATTTGTATAAATGTAGCAAGAAACGCTGCTGTTCTCTTTAAACGAAATGCAACCTAATGCTTATGTCTAGCATAAAAAAAGCATGCATATTTTTGCATAGGTAAAATGACATTAATGAAACTGAGGACCAAAAGTGTCCCTACCAAAGTGGAAATCAAACCTATGCCCTTGGCTAATCGAACTGGCAGCGTTGCGAGGCAAGGGCTCAAACATGTACGGCTGTAAGCCTTCTACACCAAACCAAGCTTCTGCCGCCCTGGCGTCCTCTTCCACAACATCTTTGACCCCGCTTTCCTCCTCTAAATAAAAAATCTATAACGGAGGAGACTCATCCACAACCTCTGACACTAAACTCTCCTCTTGCATGTTTCCTCTGTCCATAGCGTTCCTTGACAGTGTCGTTGCTAAGTCACCAATTTAGTGCTACTTGGTCCCAATGGAATTTCCTGTTGGGAACCTACTAGCACTAAGTTGCTAACTGGTTAGCAAGATGCTTCCGACAAACCGGCCACAACCAAAACGCTTACGAACCTTCTGCCACAAAAATCCCACCCCCTTGAAAAATCACCAATCACATTCACTTTATTCACTTGTGTAAAGTCGTGCTCCACTCGGGAGAATTTGAAATGCAAATTTGAAATGCAAATTTGAAATGCAAAATCGTAGGGAAACAGCCGTTTCCCTACAATTTTAATATTTGGTTGCACCACCTTTTGAGGCAATCACTACAATCAGGATTCCTGTAACTGTAAATGAGACTTCTGCTCCTTTCAATTGGTTTTCTGGTTCAATCCTCATCAGCAAAGTGCTCCAGTTATCTCAGGTTCGAAGGCTTCCTTTTCTCCTCCTCCTTTGCTCAATAGGATGTAGGTGAGGGCTCATAGGAGACTATTTCAGAGCAGTCCAATGTTTTCCTCTCAGCCATTCTTTAGCTTCTGTTTTTTGGGTGATTATCCTGTTGACATGCAACTGAGACCAAGCTTTCTGACAATGAGTGGCAGATATCTCTCTAAAAATCCTTTATAGTCTTGATTATTTCACTGAACCAGGCAGAGATTTAGACACCTTGTGCCAGAATAAGCAAAGCAGTCCCAGAGCATAACAGAGCTTCCTCCATTTTTCACAGTAAGGACAATGTTCTTTCTTGATATGCTTAATTTTTCGATCTGTGAACGTAGAGCTGATGTTCCTTGGCAGAAAGTTCAAAGTTCAGGGTCAAATGCTTCAGAAGAAAAGCTTCACGCAAGAATTTGGTTCTACTTTGTGGATCTGAACCGATAAAGTCAGCCTGCTGTGGTTGATCAGGCTTTTTGTTTGTAATTATTAAAAGTTATTCTGAATTTAGATCTTTGTTCTGGTTTCTTTTGGATTACAGACCCAATGACCATGCAGAAGACAGCTGCTCCAAACCAGAGACCCAATATTCCACAGGTCTGCTACCACCCATCAATTCGGACCGCAGGGACCGGAATCTCAGAGGCCGAATCCAACCAGAGGTCCACAGCTTCTGCTCCTCCTCGTCCTCAGTCCAAAACGCAGCCTAAGCCACTGAAGATGAACCAGGATTCTGGCAGGACCAGACCAGCTGACAAAGACCCAGAATCTGCTGGAGACCAAGCCTCAAGAAAACCTACCCCGAGGAACAGAACAGGTGCTGCTCGTCACCCCCATAGCAGAACTGAACCTAAACAGGCCTTGGAGAACCAGGGCTCTAGCAAGACAAGTCCTGTTTCAAAACCAAATCTCAATGGAGGACCAGTACCTAAGAGAGATTTGGGTTCTGCTGGAGACCAAGATCCTCCCACACCAGATCAGGTTCCTCTGGATTTAAGGGCTAACCTTAATGAGACACTGGTGCAGCAGGTGGAGGTTCTGACCCGTGGTCAGAGCACCAACCAGGCCTGGTTCGACTGGAGGAAGAACCGTATAACGGCATCAGTGGCTCATCGCATTGCCCACTCCAAATTTGTTAATGGAGAGAGCAGAGCTCCGCCCACTTCATACCTGGCTGCAGTCACTGGTAGGCTCCGCCCACTGACACCTGGACCCTGCTGCTGTCAGTTCTAATCTGACGAATCTGTTAACTCTACAGGTGAGGGGCCCAAAGTCCAGACCAGAGCTATGAGCTGGGGGATCCAGAAAGAGGCTGAGGTTGTCCGCAAATACGAGGTGAGTTTATGAGGTGGTGGCAACGGCATCACGAAGGAGAGAAGTCTGTGACATTATACGTAATGATGTCATTGCTGATGTTCTACACAGAAGTGGAAGAGACGGGCGCTGGGGCGGCCCGTTAAGGTCCGGGACTGCGGCCTGTTCATCGACAGCGAGCGTCCCTGGCTGGCAGCAAGTCCTGATGGCATCGTGGTGGACGAGAGCGGCAACAAGCTGCTCTGCCTGGAGGTCAAATGTCCCTTCAAACACAAAGACCGAACCGTGGCAGACGCCTGTAGAGGCGACCCCGCCTTCTGTCTTCAGCTGCAGGACGACGACAGACAGATGCCTGGGAAGGTAAGACCTCAGCATGTTTCACCTCTGTCTCACCCTTCGTCTCCGTCTCACCTGTCCTCTCTTGTTTCCTTATGTATCTCCAGCCGCCAGTTTATGTCTTGAAGACATCCCACTGCTACTATACACAGATCCAGGTTCAGCTGGCGGTTACGGGTCTGCAGCAGGCCGACCTCGTCGTCTTCACCTTGAAGGAGATGGCCATTGTCCCTGTGGAGTTTGATCCCCAACTGTGGGATGAGACGGTGTCCAAGCTGGAGTTCTTCTACAGGGACGCCGTCCTCCCTCATGTCAGGCAAAAACTCCAGCAGAATGCAGCAGCAGCCATGAGGCCAGAACTATAGAGACAGAGTCCAATCAGAGCTGTCCCGTAGTTGGTCAACTGGACATGTTTTGAGATATTTCTTTCCAAAACATCCTGGGTTCTGGCTGTAGGTGTGATAAAGGACATTTATGTCAAAAAAGGGTCATTTTATGTTTTTGTTTTATTTTTTAGCTTGTTCTAATTTCCTTGCTGGTTGACGGATTTGGCTTTGTTTAGATAAAACGGGTTAGACTTTGGAACTGGAGCACCACAGCCAATCGAACAAACCAAATCTGGTTTGTTGACCACAGTAGCAGAGGTTTGACCTAAACTAGAACCAGTACAACGTGTGACAACTGGATCAACTGCAAACACTTTGTCCTTATTAAACTTTTGACTACAGCTTCCCAGTTCAGAAAATAAATATACTACCTGAAATCTGTCTCGGTTCATCTTTACAAACCTCTTATGTCCAGTTAGCTGGTTACCAGTTATCAGTGAAGGCATAACTGGGATAACTACATTCATAAATCAATGGACCAACAACAATTAACTTACTGTATCAATTAGCCGGTCACCAGTTGCTGATTATTAAAGATATTTATAAATTATCTGATCTTTATCAGATAATTATCTAACATGAATTATCTGAAAGATGATAAATGAATTAACAGACCGATAATGGATCATCAATAATTGTCGATCAGTTAGCAGAAGATAAAGTGTTCACCTATTGGTTAGACCGAAGATAACTGTTAAGCAATTAGAGTAGTATTTTAAATATTTTTGTAATAATTTTAAGTAGCTATAAAATATGTAATCAAATAATAACTCTTTGTCAATTTAACCATGGATTATTTCAGTATAAGGTAAAAAAATCCACCAATTTTATCTCCTACTTCAGCTGAACCATCCTGTTTCACCATAACTAAACCTGATAACTCATCCAAATATCATCAGATGAGCTGAAAAAATTATTAATTGCTTAATTTATTTGTTTAAAATAAAAATAAAAAACCTAAATTTTCTCACAAGGAAGGTCTGAGATATTTTCCATTTGCAGTAAATCACTAATTTCTCATTTTTTTCAGCTTGGACAGCTCAGAAGTTAGAAGTTTACCATTGCAGCACCGTTTTTTTCTTCTTTTTTTTAACCAGGGTGAGGAAATGTGTATGTACATTGCTCCTGCGTGTCTCCAGATTAGGAGAGCAACCCAGATCATGACCATCTTAAAATCTCCAAACAAACAAACAAAGTAATTTTTATTACCAAATATGTCCCTGCTCCGGGTGACAAAAACCTGTTTCTCTTGTTCAGGCCATTTCACTTCCCTCTCTCTCTTTAAATTATGACACATTCAGATCAAACGAGCTGTGTTGTGCATGAACACGTTAAATGATCGGCGTTCATATCTTTAGTGAATGCTGAACTGGACGGATCCATTTTGAAGTAGTGAACATGAAGGAGAGTGACGTTCTCTCTGAGTTTAATGAGCAACACACACAGTTCACGTTCAATTGATAACAACACTTTTCATTGTTTAACTTCAGGTTTTACTGCAATTATTACGGAAAACAGCATGACAGACCAGCATGTCTACTGCTAGTACTGTTCTGTGTGATTCAGACTCATCTACTTCCAGTTTTGCAGAGCGCTTTGCAGAGTTTTATGAACCACGAAAGGAAGAAAGCTCATGTTTTTGTGCAATCTGTGCCCACTGGGACTTAACAAACAAGTCGTACGTCAGCCAAATCCACCTATCATCCTCCGGTCATCCTCTCCCTAATACAGTGCAGGTGCCCTCTCCCAAGTGAAGAAAAATACCCCCAAAGCATGATGCTACCTGCCCCATGCTTCACAGTAGGGATGGTTTTCTTGGGATGGTTCTCATCTTTCTTCTTCCTCCAAACACGGTTAGTCGAATTATGACAAAGAAGTTCTACTTTGGTCTCATCTGACCACATGACTTTCTCCCATGCCTCCTCTGGATCATCCAAATGCTCATTGGCAAACTTAAGATGGGCCATGACGTGTGCTGGTTTAAGCAGGGGAACCATCTGTGCCATGCATGATTTCAGACCATGAAGTTTTACTGTATTACCAACAGTAACCATGGAAACGGTGATCCCAGCTCTTCTGAAGTCATTGACCAGCTCCTCCCGTGTAGTGCAGGGCTGATTTCTCACCTTTCTTAGGATCTTGGAGACCCAATGAGGTGAGATCTTGCATGGAGCCCTGATCCGAGATGATTGTTATGTTTAGCTTCTTCCATTTTCTAATCTTTGCAGTGGACCTTTATTCACCAAGCTGTGAAGGTGTTCCTTTTTTTTTCTCTACTNTCAGCCAAATCCACCTATCATCCTCCGGTCATCCTCTCCCTAATACAGTGCAGGTGCCCTCTCCCAAGTGAAGAAAAATACCCCCAAAGCATGATGCTACCTGCCCCATGTTTCACAGTAGGGATGGTGTTCCTGGAATGGTACTCATCATTCTTCTTCCTCCAAACACGGTTAGTCAAACTATGACAAAAAAGTTCTACTTTGGTCTCATCTGACCACATGACTTTCTCCCATGCCTCCTCTGGATCATCCAAATGCTCATTGGCAAACTTAAGATGGGCCATGACATGTGCTGATTTAAGCAGGGGAACCATCTGTGCCATGCATGATTTCAGATCATGACGTTATACTGTATTACCAACAGTAACCATGGAAACGGTGATCCCAGCTCTTCTGAAGTCATTGACCAGCTCCTCCCATGTAGTGCAGGGCTGATTTCTCACCTTTTTTAGGATCTTGGAGACCAAATGAGGTGAGATCTTGCATGGAGCCCCGATCCCAGATGATTGTTATGTTTAGCTTCTTCCATTTTCTAATCTTTGCAGTGGACCTTTATTCACCAAGCTGTGAAGGTGTTCCTTTTTTTTTCTCTACTGTCTTTGGACAGCTTTTTGGTCTTGGCATGTTAGTAGTTGGATCTTTTTGTTCTCCACCAAACTGCACTGAACTCTTATCCCGTCAATTTTGTTGATTCATATTGCTTTGCCTTGCTGGGCGCTGTCTCTGCAGTTAATTAGCAGGTCTCCACTGTACAGAATTCTGGCACCTCTGACTTCTCCAACAGATTTATTTATGTTTTTTGTTAAGTGAACCGGATTCCAATTTGTAAAAGAGTCTGCCTGATTAACGACTTCGTATATGACTTTGTATTCATTTTGTTTTGCTGTGGAATGTATGGATTGATCATCACTGGATTGTTCTGAACTGGACTCCCCTTTAACGGATCTCTGTTTTTTCCGCCTTTTCTCATTTTTTGATGTTGCTATCTTCCAACCTTCTTCATTGTCACTATTTCCCTCTTCCATCCCACAAGAATCGCTTCCTGTTTCCTCACTACTCACGGCCCAGGACATTTCTCCACAAGCGACTTCAAAACACGCGCCATGCACAAAACGACCATCCACACTCCCTCTTCTCCCCACAAGAGCTCTTGTATCAAACCTCTGCTTTACCTCAATGGCCTTACTGATTGTATGGGGTGGACTGGTGTTTTTATGCAGCTAACCACCTCAAACAGGTGTGTCTAATTTTGGATAATAAATGGAGGTGGGCATTTTAAGGCTGGATCATACAAATAATTATTTTATAAAGTCATGAATTGTGATTTCTGTATTTATTTGGGTGTTCAAATACTTCTTTTCCTCACTGTATAGGGCACTGAATGTGAAACGTAAGAAATCATTTTGAATACAGATTCTGCAGAACCTGAATGTTCTAGTATGTTTCTGAAGTTCTGTGTAATTCGGCTAAATAAAGGCTTCACTGCACATACAGAATTCTGAGACAAAGTCAGAATTTTGAGATTAAAGTCAGAATTCTGAGAAAAAAAATCAGAATTCTGAGGGAAAAAAAGTCAGAACTCTGAGATTAAAGTCAGACTTTTGAGATAAAAGTCCGAATTCTGAGGAAAAAAGTCAGAATTTTGAGATTAAAGTAGAACTCTGAGATTAAAATAAGAATTCTGAGAAAAAACTCTGACTTTTTCTCATACTGAAATAAAATTTAAATATAGGTCAACCCTTTTTTTTTCAGTGGTCCTAATCCTCTTCCGTAGATTCCTTTTTGAAAATGTAAATTAATGTTTTATTGTTCAATAAATTACAAAAAAAAAAAAAAAAATGTAAAGGCTGATGAGGGCGGGACTTCCGGGTATTGACGTCAGTGCGCAGACTCACCATTGGACCAATGGCGGGCCGCGGCTGTAGAACGTTGTGTTTTTTTTGTTTTTTTTTTTTGCCCATGGAGCAGCTGCAGGAGGGTGAAAACAGCTGTAAAATACAAACACGGGTAGTTGGAGAACTTTAGAAAGAGGAGACACCGCTTGAAGCTCAGCTGGATCCTCTAAGTAACTGTTAGAGTAAAGTTTGTAGAAGAAAAAGCTGACAGAGATGTGGAGTCAGCAGGTCAAACAGCGATTGGATTCAGCAGATGAGCAAAGACAAGAAATACTGGATGCTGCTTTCAGCCTAGAGGATCGGCTGCACCCATCAGGTCTGGATGTTGACATTCTGTAGAGCCGCAGCAGTGATCTGAGCTACAGCATTCAAAACTACGGATGTTAGCTTCTAGCTAAAATTAACTCTGCGCAAACACGGAGTATTACGGTAAATAAAAATAAAAAAACGGCTGCGATTTCACTCTTTGTTGTGAAACAGCGCGGTCCTTTAATAAACCCGGACGTTATTAATTTATAATGTATCTAAACAGATACATGATGTATGTATCTAAGCAGGTACATTATCATAAATAAACACTTAAGTTGATGCTCTAAAGGTGATTATTTAACTATTTAATTTTGATAATGGACCTTATAATTCCAGATAGATGTTCCTCTAGTCAATGATTTATACTGCTCATTCTAGGATGTTATTTTTAATAACAGCAATAAAACATTTCTTGCTGAGTGTATAATAAAATGATTTTTCCTTATGTTCCTAACAGAGCACTTCGCTCTCAATCTGCAGGTTTACTAGTGGTTCCTAGAATTTCTAAAAATAGAATGGGAGGCAGATCTTTTAGTTATCAGGCTCCTCTCCTGTGGAACCAACTATCAGTTTTAGTCCGTGATGCACCCTGTCTACTTTTAAGGCTAGGCTTAAAACTTTCCTTTTTGATAAAGCTTATAGTTAGAGTGGCTCAGGTTATCCTGAGCTATCTCTATAGTTATGCTGCTATAGGCTTAGACTGCTGGAGGACATAGGGATCACTATTGTGTCATTCTACTTCATTCTATCTCTATTCTCCCACTCTGCAGAATCTGTTAGTTCAATCTCTAACATTATGCTCTCTCCGCTATTTCTCAGAGTAGCTTTGCCTCATCTGTTCCTGTTTGGCTGTGACTCCATCCTGGAGAGAAATATCAGGTGTGCTGCTTCCATCAACACCTTTGTTTCTAGATGTTGGAGATCAGCCTGTTTTCCAGTGTGGTCCTGTTTCTCTGACTGTGACTGGCTGGATGTGCTCTCTTCATCCTCTGACATGGGAGCTGGCTCGGAGCCCGTCTGCCTGGCTGTGTGTTTCCTGGACAGGGCCGCCTTTTACAGCTGCTTTTTGTATCTCTGCTTCTGTCTCCTTGAACCCCAGTCGGCCTCAGCAGATGGCCGCTCACACTGAGCCTGATTCTGCTGGAGGTTTCTTCCTGTTAAAAGGGAGATTTTCCTCTCCGCTGTCGCTACAAGCATGCTTAGTGTGAGGGATTGTATTGGAGTCAATGAGTTAATGCAATCAACTGGTTTTCCTTAGATAGAAAACTTTGAATCAATTTGACTGCATGATCTGGTTGAACTGTAAAGTGCCTTGAGATGACATGTGTTGTGAATTGGCGCTATAGAAATAAACTGAATTGATTGAATTTCAATTAAAAAAAAACATCAGTATGAGAGTTCTTGCAGTTACAGCACAGTGTCTGGTCTTTATCGCACAACTATGGGAGCTTTTATAAACATATACCTAAACATTGTTTTGCAGTTAGTTGCAAAATCAGTTTTTATCTGTAGTCCCAGGGCAGGTGGATAATAACAACACACAAGAAAAGGAAACTAAAACAACTGCGACAGATAAGCAAAACAGCAACAAATGACGCCTCAAACAATCTAAAACGGCAAACAGCTCAGACAATAACAACACAGACTATTCAGACACAAAATCAACTAACGCTGTGCATGCAGGTTTGATTATCCAGAGCTACACAGAGTGTCTTAGGGTGGTAATGTTCCTCATGTTTGGTAGACAAGTCATCAAGGTTTTTTAACACTGTTTTTCTCTCTGAAAAACACACCTAACACCATCTCTAAAGTCGTAGGGAAATCATATTTAAATGTCAAATCATTCTGGCTTAAATATAAATGTACTCTTTATCAGACAATATTGTCCCAAAATGTAGAAAATTTCTATTTAAAAAAAAAAACCTGTCTCAAAAACAGTTAGTTATACGTCAGCCTGAACATGTAAATTCGGCCAATCATATATCAACCTTCTTCTGTCAATCACATTTTTTCGGTCATAGCATCTTGATTCATATGTAGCAGCTAATAAACGCAACAGTTGAAATAAAAATAATTTCCTTTCCCATTGAGTTCCATCCCAGTGTTCACGGGGATGGACGTCTGTGTCTTCAGCAGGCATAGAGCTAACAGAACTGGCAGCGTTGTGAGGCAAGGGCTCAAACATGTACGGCTGGAAGCCTTCTACACCAAACCAAGCTTCTGCTGCCCTGGCGTCCTCTTCCACAACATCTTCGTCCCCGCTTTCCTCCTCTAAATAAAAAATATATGACGGAGGAGACTCATCCACGACCTCCGACACAAAACTCTCCTTCTTTTGCATGTTTCCGCTGTCCATAGCGTTCCTTGACAGTGTCGTTTCTTTTTTTTTGAGTTTTTATTATTAATTATTACCCACAGTTCCATTGCCATAATGCCAATAAGGGCTTACCCATCTAATTCTGTAAATGCTGTGGATAAGTATTGACAGGGCATTTATTGTAAAGTTAATCGATTGGATGAAATAGAGGGAAATGGTGTAATTATGAGAAAGGGATGAGCCCTAAATATTTGGGCTGTGCTTAGAGAGTGTCTTTTGAGAAGTCGTATTGTTATGATAAAAAAAAAAAGTAATTTTACTTAGACAAAATATTTGATAGTTATTGACCTAGCTCACCCAAACTGCAGCCTCATGATCCAGCCATGTTAAAGGTTTTTCCTGGTAATGTTCTGACTTTAATCTTGTTATGTCTTTGACTTCCTAGTGTTACAGCTATTTTCTAATATGTTATGACTGTATTCTGGTACGACTTTAATCTCATAATATGGTTTTGTTCTCATAGACTTGATATTATTTATATTATCATTTTATAATTTTAAACCTTTAATTTCATGGTTTTATGAAATTATTTTCATGGACTTGATATTATGAATACATTTTTACATATTATGAATTTATTTCCCATATTATGACTTTATTCCAGTAATATTAAGTTTTGCTATGGCCTTTAGTTTGTATTGTTACAATTTTATTCAGGTAATTATACGACTTTAAATTACTCTTGTAATTTTAGGACTTTAGTTTGGTAATGTCACAACTATATTCTTATAAGCTTATGACTGTATTCTGGTGCAACTTCAATACCATGATGTTACAACTTTATTGTTGTTGACCTAATATAATTATTTTATTCCTGTTATATGACTTGATTTAAATTTTTTACTTTTCAAAATAATTTTCATCCGGGGTAGAATCCTTCCAGACCCCCTAGTGGGGTTTAATATGTAGTCGTAACGCTTAGTAATAAGATAAAAAATACTAATATTTAGAAACATTCATGCCACAGAAAAGTTAGTGATGCCACACTAAAGACCTTTTTTTATTTAGAATGTACCATAGTTTAATACAATTTGACTCAAACTGTTGATCTTGATGTAAATCCTGTGTTTCCCTACAGATGTTCATCACACTGCTTTGGCTAAAGAAGATGCTCCTAAAGAACAAAATCCTGATTCGGACCTTGAGGACCCAGAACCCATCCAAATAAAGGAGGAGCAAGAGGAACACTGGGACAATCCAGAGAGAGAGCCGCACGGTGTGGGGGAGGAGACCGATGGCAGTAGTATGTCACTGTCACCAGTTCAAGTGAAAAGCGAGGATGAGGAAGATAAAGCAAACCAAACAGAATCTAGAGATGTGCCGAGCAGCAGCTCGGTTGACCAGATGAAATCAGAAACTGATGATGAGGACTGCGGAGAAGAAGAATCCAGTAGGAACCCAAATCTAAACCGCCATGGAGACGCTTCCAACTCTTCAGAGACAGAAGTTAGTGTGGAGGATGACGATGATGATGATGATGAGGACTATTCTGACTCTCAGCTCAAACCCTTGTCAGACTCTGAGGCTGAAACAGAGGAGAGTGAAGATGACTGTGAGGAGAGCAGTATTTCTGAGTTGGATGGAAAAACTCGTAGAAAGCCTTGGAGCTGCACTGAGTGTGGCAAACGGTTCGTAAACAAGCGCTCCTTTCAGAGTCACATGGAATGTCATCCAAAGATAAAATCTGATGTGAAAGTCCAGAAGGATCAGAAAACTTTCACTTGTGATGTCTGTGGGAAAACCTTTAAGAGAAAAAGTCATCTGAACTTACACACAGTAATTCACACAGGAGAGAAACCTTTTGGTTGTAATGTTTGTACAAAAAGATTTGGTCGAAAGTCTCATTTAAACAGACACATGACAATCCACTCAGGGGAGAAGCCCTTTGAGTGTGATAAATGTACGAGGAGGTTCGCCAGTAAATGTCGTCTTAACTCTCACCAGAGGGTCCATTCCGATGAGAAACCGTTTGGCTGTGACCTGTGTGAACAAAGATTTAAGGAGCGATCTGCCGCCAACAGACATATGAAAGCACACTCAGGAGAAGATCTTATTAAACAGAAAGAGTTTGGATGTGATCAGTGCAGCAAAAGGTTTGCCACTAAAAGCTGTTTGAATTCACACCTAAGGATCCACTCTGGCGAGAAACCGTTTGTCTGTGATCTCTGTGGACAAAGGTTTTTCTACAAGGCTAATCTAAAGGCACATATAAGGATTCACACCGGGGAGAAACCCTACAGCTGTGATGTTTGCGGACAAGATTTTAGATCAAAATCACATCTAAATACCCACCAGAGGATCCACACCGGGGAAAAGCCACTGAACTGTGAAGTTTGCGGACAGCGATTTAGTCGCAAGTCGCATTTGACGAGACACATGAAGGTCCACACGGGAGAGAAACCCTATGGGTGTGTTCAGTGTAGTAAACGGTTCACCAACAAAACGGATCTCACCTTCCACCTGAGAATCCACACCGGAGAGAAACCATACGCCTGTGACTTCTGTGGGAAAAGATTTATGGTCAAATCGGCTGCAAACAAACACATGAGAGTACATTCTGGGGTGAAGCCATTTGGCTGCCATCTTTGTGGTCAAAGATTTACAGCCAAGCCCAGTGTCAAGAAACACATGATAATCCATACAGGGGAGAGACCCTTTCGCTGTGATGTCTGCGGGTATAGATTTAACTTAAAAACAAGTCTAGACAGGCACCTGAGAATCCACACAGGAGAAAAACCATTTGGTTGTGATGTCTGTGGACGACACTTCAACCGCAAGTCCACCTTAAATACTCACATGAAAATTCATAAAGAAGGAAAAGATGCTTAGAGAGGAAAGGATAGTGGAAATATGAGTCTGAAACTCACTGAACCAATGAACTTTCAGTTTTGATTTTGAAATAATGTGTTTTGGAAAAAGGAACAATATTTCTTCACGAAAAATGTCAGTTCTTTCTGAGAATTGATGCCTTCAAACCTGTTGAAACTTCATGTGTGATCATGAGGTTGACTTATTAGTAACTTAACCGGGGAATTGGATCATTGATGCTTTTACTGACTGATTAGAATAGCGCTTAAAGGTTAAAAAAATTTGGAACAGTCCTTCCAGGATTTCTGACTTTGTTCGAACTAAGCTAGTTGAATCTTTTCCTTTCTGTGAAACTGTCCCACTGTAATGTTTTTTCTTTTTTTTTGACCCCAAGATAATTTGTTTATATGTTATGTTCTCATTTAGAGAACATTTGTTACAGCTTGTTACTACTACCACAAGGTGGCAGCATTGTATAAGCTGTATAATTGGTGGAAAGGTTAGCACTGAAGCCCTTTTCTTCATTTTAACTTATATTTAACTTATAATATTTAAAGTTATTTGAACTTTTTATTAGCACTTTAATCTGGTTTTATGTTGAACCGATGCTAAATTCCAGCTTTTTGGTTCATTTCCATAACCAGGACAGCTGTCATCTGTCAGCTTTGGTAATATTCATTCATAAATCTATATTTAAATATATTTAAATTCTGATATTTGTAATTAGAAGAAGATTTATATCTAAAACTCACATCTCAACTGCAGTGAGTTAATAAATAAAAACAGATGTACTTGTTTTTTTACGGCAGTGTAGTTCTTGCCAAAAAGATGATCTGGTATGGATTGGTTTTCCTCTGTAGGGCTGATATGACCTCAAATCAATATCACGATAGAGTGGGCAATTTTACCTTAATAACAATAAATTCACTATAAATGCTTCGGCTCCTCTATCAGAAATAAAGGCAGGTGCAGGAAATGCAACTGATCTATTTATAATTTATTTATTGAATAAATCACCTTACATATTGCATAAAATATTAAAGTATTGTATTCATTGAATTTTCAAACAGTCAACAATGTCTCATTGATCAGGAGAAAAATGTTACTTCGCTTGTTAACATTTTTGCGCAAAAGCAGTGGTGCCTTTTTCTCATCCTTGTACTCAACAGCCTAGCTGTGCTTTAGGTGGTGGAGGGTGGATGTGTTGCTTTATGTAGTGCTGACAGGTTTCAGGCAATCTTTGCATTTCGTGTTTTTGCTCAACATCTATGGTGCCACTAAACTGAGCATGCAGTGAGAACAAAGTACATCGTTTAAACTCGCTCACTTTCACTAAAAACTGCAGTGCTGGAGTATCTTAAAAGGTAAGACACCAGCCATAGTTGCACACAGGAAAAACAGCAAAATTAAGTTTATTTCTTTTACCGACGTGGGAAAATCATCGCTGGTTATCGTGGTGAATGACAGTAACGGTAAAAATCCAGTGTATCGCCCAGGCCTACTCCTCTGGGTTAATGCTTTATCTGTTTAAGAATAATAAAACATGATCCAATTACAAATTAGATTATCCTTTATTATTAAAAAAATTGTAATTTATGATATATTGGTCATATGTCAACACACTTGTCTTCGAAAACAAGAATGGTTTGTTGCTATAGTAACACATTTTGATCTCTAATAATTATTGTTAGATAGTGGAGGGATGCTGGCTCTGATGCATTGATCAAAAACAAGCATGCAACTAGTTAAGTGATTTAATGGGAATAATTTAGGGCCTAACTCCAGTAAACTTTAGTATCAGTTTCTGGTCAGTATTGCATAAATCAGCAGGTGTGAAAAAATGAAAGAAAGCAGCAGCAGAAAAAAAACATGCTCCTGAATAGGGGTGAAGAAAAAAAGTGATTTGAGCTCAAATCGCGTTTTGAACATTTAAAGATTCAGAATCGATTTTCATTTTCTTTAAAAACGATTTTTTTTTTTGTGGGTGCGGAAGTGCCTTATCAGGCACCGTAGTGTTTGGCGAAACCAATGAGCAGTGTGAGCTATGAACAGGCATGCAAGTGTTAGCCCAGCAGGCTACAGTGTGGTGTGTAGTGATGTGTGAGCTACTGTGTTTGTTGTTGCTAAAGTATGGAGGACAAAGAAAAAGAAATTAATCCGCCTCCACGGTCTTTAAAAGCAAACATTTGGAAACACTTTGGATTTTACCTTCAACCCGGTAAGAAAGGGCTTGACATGAATCATGCGATTTGCAGAGATTGCAACGGTAAAGTTAAGTATTGAGTATGTAACAGGTATGGGCTAGGCAGCTAACTGCGATATCAGAAAAACAGTTGGTTAAGGAGCCTGAGGTGTGAATGAAAACACAAGGAAACTGTTTTAGTTTTTGTGCAAGTGTATTATTGTTTTTCCTTGTAAACAGGGAAAAAATAAGGGGCAGGGGAAAAAAAAAGACAAACAAAACAATTACAAATACACAAATCAATTCAAGAGTCCTTAGGGGTTTTGTCCTTTTTTTTAGCTCGCCATCAGTTGTTCAGGATCTGAGGAGCTGATCCATCATATATAAAAAACCCGACCTAAAAGGCCAGAAAACCCATTAAGTGTTTTAACAAACACAAATGCAACAAATAAAGTCAATACAACTATCAAATATCTAATAATTAAATCAGGTTAAATTAACCATAATTTAAACAAAAAGAATAATCATTTCAAACTAATC